CATACAAGGTTACAGTGACACCCAATGGAGATGATAAGCACCGCCAAAGCAAGAGTACGTATGTTGTACACGATATTGTTGACCAAGTTTGATTGCATAATAATGGACGATGAAGGCGGATTTCAAGCAGCTCCCAGGTCAAGAGTTTTACACGGCTACCGGAAAAGGACAGGTTCAGGATATGTTTAAGCAGAAACAGTTGTCAAAGTTCCCGAAAAATACTTGGTTTGGCAGGCGATTTGCACGTGTGGGCTTAAAAAAGCGGAATTTGCGTAACAACTGATACTATTAACCAAGATATTTGTGTAAAGGAATGTTTTCAAAAACGCCTATGGCCTTTTTTTTGAAGAAACACAGTTATTACGTGCTGTTTTGGCCAGACTACGGGAAAATGGCTCAGGAATGGTATACCGCCAACAACAACCCAACAACAAAACCCTCCAAACTCGCCGGAGCTGCGCCCAATCGAATAATATTGGGCAATCGTTAAGCGAAACCTCAAGAAAACTCGGAAAAAATTGAAAATGAGAAACAGTTCAAAGAAAACTGGCGTTCAGCAGTTACAGCATTACCAGCTCAAAACGCAAACTGGTTGGACATTAGTGTTTCCGATTTGAATGAAACATTACTCATATGTTCGCTGCTACCAATGGTTGCATTTTTCATTTAAATATGATTTTTTTCATTCCAGTAGCTTTTGTAAAGGGTGTATTAAAAATCGAGTACACGCTATTTCAAAACTACCCAAATTTGGGTACAATCCACCCAGATCGGTCCAAACTCGCCCTACCCAAAAATGGGTAAACTGTGTTGGGAGTGACAAGTTGACAAATGAACAACGTTGATTGGATTCCCAACACAGTTTACCCATTTTTGGGTAGGTTCAGTTTTGACCGATCTGGGTGCATATTTTTTTCAAAAAATCAACATGAAAACTATTGATCTGATCAAAATGACATGTGAAAAGAAGTGGTAGGTACAGTGTATCTCAAAATTGATCGTAAGCAGTTCTTAAATTTTAGGAAAACGGCTCTAAAAGCACAAGTTAAAAAGATACGTCTCTGAATTTTTGGCAGCTGATTCAGCCTACAATTATTAATTATTGTTTCAGTATTAGGCATATTTCGTTCATTTAACATAAAGTTAGAGCAATTTAAGAAAAACGCGTTTTTCTTGAAAAACCTTATTTTCTTGAAATAAAAATATCATACTTCTTAAAATTTTGCTCAGTTTTAGTCGTAGTAGGGATCATTCGTATACCAATAATTTTACTAAAATTCGTCCACTAGGTAAAAAGTTGAAATTCGAGCGTTTCACTAAAATAAATCTAACTTAATACAGGCTCTTCCAATAAAGACCTATATCATGGCAATAAATCAATAAACATTGAACAAGCCATGATTTAAAAAAAAAATACGTCTATTCACCATGTTAAAAAAAATCTTCTAGGGTGTACCATCAATTTTGAGATACCCTGTAGTTAAATTATCTACATTGGAGATTCACTTATAAACTTATTTCTCTTCCGTTGCGTCTAAATAGGAACGGGAAATTCTGACAGCTACCATATCTGAGAATTAATAGTTTGTTTTTTAATATTCAATCATCGAATAAAATTTAACTGCACGGATATAAATCATTTCATCAAACTAAAAAGTATTCTTGCATAAAATTTGAATTTATCTGGGACTTTCGTCCGTCTCGGCATAAGCATGTTATCAATTGAGTTGTTTAGGGTTATTGAGGTAAATACATTCTCGTTATCTTCATTAAAAATGGAACCGAAATCCAAAATTTCATCAATATTGGTACACTGGAACTAATTTAAATAAGTACGATTACATTAGCAAAAATCACCATCTTAGTGCCCCTTGGCGGGACTTTGAATTGGAGCGAGCTGTCAACGAATAGATTTAATGTCATCGATCAAAAAATTTAAATCTTGATTTAAAAATCGAGATGAATGTCTACGGGATTGATAAAAATATCGTTGTGCTCAGAAAACGAAGCTCTATCAGATGATGTATAAAAATCGGTATATTTTTCGAAGTTAAACAACCCAATTGACGTTTGAGCAGTTTGTGAGTTTCAAGCTGGAATCAAGGGGGACGAAAGTAAACCGCTTCACATTTCATATAGCGGATTTTCATAAAATTTGCTTAAAAAATTTCGATTTTTAAGATCAATTCAAGTCGTAATGAATAATAACAAGCACCTGCCGATATTATCCGATTGCATACACTATTCATCGATAATCTTGAATGTGTTAGAATTATCGGGTATTATGCTGATGTTGTTTTAAGTGTGTTTTGTGATGTGAACTGTCACTTTCTTGAGCACCTGCTTTTGTGATTGTTGCATGTTCAAACTCTGGAAGCAATGATATTTGCACGGAGATTTGGCAACAGAATTGATGGCCAAACGTGACCAAACCTCAACTCGACCAAACCCAACACCAAACGATAAGTGCCATCGATGCTGATCTTCACCGGATGCCTGAGATTGGGGAAGTCTGTTGAGGCAGGGATGGAAATCAGTAATGGCCTTGGAGATATCGGAGAATTCCCATTCGTGACATATGCATTTCTGTACTTCCAATACTGTGTGAAATGCACAGCACAGCTGCCACAAAACATACAACAATGAAACAGGAACTTCACATTTGATGCAGCAAACAGGGAGTTCCAATTTCATGAGTGATGTCACAACTGTGTCCGAAAATTGTGCTCTAGAACACTTGCCATCCTCAGGGAATTTGTGAACTCTTCAAGGAATCACCATAAATGATTTTTGAATATACGATTTTCGAACAGATTTATCAACCAACAATACTAAAGAGTGGATCAGCAAACTTGTAATGACCTTATCTTGAACACTGAAGCACGCTTACACAAACCAATTCCACCATCGGATAGGAGAGAATTTTTCCCTAGCCGGCGGTTTTTTGTTGATTTGGCAAGGCGAGCTTCGATTTGCGAGAAAAGATTTGATTACAAAAGCTGATCCGCCTTTTTGAATTGTTGGTTGAGATTGCACGACGTTCCTTTTTTATAAAGAGACGACATGTCAAAATTGGAACAATCGATTGTCTGTCAAAGTCATAGGAAAAGTCATTCCAATCGAGCAGAAGACCTGTCAAATTGATAAGATGTCGCCTCTTTATAAATTCAGGCTCTTTAATCGTTACCTGTCATGATACTTATAGCTTATAGAGATGTGACCGGTAATAAGAAATGTGACCGATTAAAAATCGATATTATTTAGTTTTAGGATGAATCCGATAAAATGGATTTCTCCGACTATAAATCAATAAATCAAACTTTAGAGTAATTTTTGGAAAGTTTTGAATAAATCTGGGACTTTCGTCCCTCTCGGCTTGAATGATTTTTTGACGTTTAGAGTGTGAGATACGTTTTTTGCAAACATAGTGCTCATAAAAATACATACGCCCTTTTAAAATATGACGCTTGAGTCAAAGTGCTCTAAAGGGTGGACGGTCAAAAATTGGTCGACTAAAATTTGGAATATTTTTTAATCGTGCACTTAAAAAACTTAAACACCCCTCAGTTTGTAGGTGTGTGCGTACGGAATGTTTCCTCTATTTTGTTATTGCCATTTACTATTCAGTTGTCAAAATTGTGAGCAAGGAACAGCGTAAGTGTTTGGAGAACGTCTGACGACTGCTAGGAAACCAGGATTAAAAATTTACTGTGCTTTGAAGAAATGAACGTTCTACGTTTTTTTTTCAAATATTAATTTACTAAGCTTTCTTTCAGTGTATTTTTCCTCAAAGATAATTTAACTACCTATGACTTCTTTCCGTGTGCCATTTTGATCAGATCAATAGATTTTAGGTTATAATTTCTTGAAAAAAAAATTTAATCATTTTGTTTAATACGCCCTTTTTAAAGTTACTGTGAAGAAAAACAATCATATTTCAATGAAAATTGCAATCATTGGTAGCAGCGAACATGTGAGCAATGTTTCATTCAAATCGGAAGGGGTCGAGACAAAATTGACATTTTATTTAGCGTTTTCGGCTGGAAATGCTCATGAGGTTGATACAACAGCAGTACAAAATCTGATGGATGATGTGAAACGTAAAGCTTGGCAGTCCGCATTTGGAAAGTTGGAAGCCTAATTCAATAATATTGCTGTATTTTGTAGCCGTTGAACTTCTAAAAGAATTATTTTTTTGATCATTTACCGTTGAAATTTGCTGGTTGGGCCACCACATCGGCCCAACTAACGAATTTGGCTATAATTTGTTTTGGTGTCCGCATCTTTTGTTGTGGTTGAGAAGATTTCACACAAAGCGACTTCAATTACAGCGGATTGAAGCAAAAAGAATTTATGTTTGATTGTAAAATCCGATTTGACACGAGAATTCGACATCCAGTTGCAACCAGCGGAGGTCCAACTAAAAAGCAGCCCAAGTATTAAAAGCCCAACCAGCGAATTTCGACTGTATATAATAACATAATCAGTGGGCACTAAATTATATTTGACCAATTTTTGGCCGTTGCACCATTTAAATGTCTAGGGAACATTTATATTCCCCCTGTCGAAAACATAGACAACCCAACTAACAATTTTAGCTGCAGATAAGCTTATACAGCCAAAATTTGCCTTCTGCAGCTAATTTTTGCTTGTATAAGCTGATCGGCAGCTAAAATTGTTTGCTGGGAAAGTTTCATTTATATCGGAAAGACTCAAATCTGATAATTTACCTATGTCACGTTGAGCTTCTCCGGGGCCATGCATTAATTATGTCACGCTAAATTTAGGAAAAAAATATCGCTCTCCCCCATTCGTCACTTCCTCCCTAGTAAAATCAACATAATTTTTTTTTATTATATTTAATTAATTCATAATGCGTCCATTTCGATGATTGGGTGGGTGTTGCAGTAGTATGAGCTAACTTTTGTTTTGTCCTGAAACCAAAATTCATACTTACCACTGACTTTCCCCCTTCTTGTTCTTTTTCCATGGTTTTTCAGATTCAATTCATGATCCTGATGGCACATTTTGGACTGCCGCTGATTTTCGGATACTGCAGCTATCCGACCTACTTGCTGTTTATCGGCTTCACGCAGAACCTGTTCATGTTTACGCTGTTCGCCGATTTCTACGTGAAAGCCTACCTCAAGGCTCGGAAGGACAAAGTGGAAACAGCCGAATGAAAATGACACAGCGCACCGCCATCAGCACCATCGATGCCGCTAAGAAAGCCGAAGGCTATCGAAAACTGGAGCACAGTTTCGTTAAACTGATTAAATTTTCATGAGAGGTGGATAATTTAAATTTTTCAACGGCGTACCGAAGGAATTTCACACAAATACACAGTGCTAGCACCCATATGTCTCCCATTGCCATTTGAATGTACTGTCTACCCTCATTGCTAGGTTAAATAGAAGTGTATTTGGAGCTTCTACTGCAAAGTAGGTTCCACCATTACGTCGTTCGAAATCTAGGTTTTAAGTTCAACAGAAATATACATCAGTAAAATATGACCTTTGAATAGTGTGCAAACGGAGTTGTTTCGATGCATGACTGTAAGAGACACAGCCCTGTTGGAATAGAACCGCATTGAACAGTGACACGTGTGGTAAAATGGTGGTCATCATGAATTAATTGGATGCAATATGGTAACCGTATCGTTATTTGTTATTTATTAGTCATAAACTAGTCTAAGATTTGCCCGTTCCACTACTACATTCCTTTCAATCTGTGTTTTGGTTTTCTCTAAAATAATCATTCCTAACGTTTAGTTTTTCATTAGTTTTGTTTTCCTGGATTCATTCTATACGTTTGCTAGCGTTATAAACTTAACATGATTTGCTTAATTTCTTTTTTTTGTTTTTTTTTTATGCAACGCATCGGTTTCTCATGACATTATGTCTGCAATTATGTGGTTAATGGTTCAATGCGTTAAACATCATTCAACTTGCGGTTTCTTTCTCTTCTCATAATTTTCCTCTAATACATTATATGTTCTTTCTGCTTTTCATTAAGTTATAAAAATTAACAACGACAATGACGCTGGTATTATAAAGTATTTTCTTCTTCTTGTTTTTTCCTTCTCCATATTTTTTTCTTTGCCCTAGTGTAGAATGTGTTTCGACGTACAAAATAACTATTTTTTTTTCTTTGGGATTAACTACAGCTTCCTTTCCTTCTGCTACGGCTTTGAGAATGCCTTACAAAACTCTGTTCCCGTAATTTACTTCCTGCATTTTTCTAAGCTACCAGCTGGTATTTCGATTTCCGGAACAATGCAATATTTTGCTCGAAAAATATGCTATTTTAGTCAACCGAAAACAAATCGATCTGCAAGCTAGTCAACGCCCTTCGTAGAAATGTATTGATGGTGGCTATGAAACGAAAGTTGTTTCTAATATCTGGCAGAAAGCTCAAAATTCAAGTCGACTTTACAGACTTGCTGTTTAACCTTCCCGCAAACTCTCTGGTTTTCCATGGCAGTTAAAACAAATTAAAGATTTCATGAATAATTGTAAATCAAAATAGAATTTTTCTGCTTACCTGTCTGCGATTGTAAAATAGGCTCATCGTGGTTTGCCATTTGTTATCGGAAGCTGCTGTTGATGAGAGTGTCATTTTCAGTACAAGGAAGCCTATGAATAGAGTTTCCAGGAACCACGTTTTTCACACAATCTCCCACGGTTGTCACAGATAAAATAGACACCCATTAGAAGCATCGTAATCAGCTGCGTTGACACGTTGTTTTTTTGCCGTTGTGTGGTTGGGATTAATGAAAATTGTGTGGTTGTTGTCATATTTATTTTCTCGCCCTCATCACAGCATGTCATGACAGCTTAAATAGCTGTGCATGTATGTGATGTCATCTCTAAGCTCGGTTTCCGTTGCATATTGTTATGTATTGTTTTCAACTTGAGTAGTAGGAATATATAAAACGGAAAAAATCGTCCAATTTCCAATTTTTGCCATCGAGGATTAGTTTAAAAGCATTAATGATGGAAAACTTCCAGTATTTAATGGAACCACTGCACTTGGCAAAGTTGACAGTTACCATGTGCCGCGAATAAATAACAAAACAAAAATTCAAGCAAGCTGCTTTCCGATGCAGGGGCCTCAGATAGCCCAGTTAGTAAAGGCACGGTATTACCAAGCCGGAGGCGGTGGGTTCAATTCCAAGAGGCAAGACAACTTAGATATAGGGGAAATGAATGTAATGTCGGCCTAAATGCTTCTAATTTGGGCCCATACATAAATTCAGCAATCGACTAAATTTTCAATAGCGACAAAAAATATCCATTAGTACCGTCCCAATGACGCGTTCATCTAGATAAAATTGATAAATAGCAGATTTTTAGCGATGGGCCCAATCTTAGATCCATAGGCCAACATTAGAGCCATTTCCCCTATTTGAAAATATCATCAAATATTTCTCAATATCAACGAAATTATTTAACTATTACATATATTCAGCCAAGGTGTCCCGCCCCCTTTTTCGATTCCCGACCGGTAGAGGCAATATTTCGGGTTTGAAATTTTCTCGACTTTCCTGGGCATAGAGTATCATTGTGCTTGCCACAAAATATACAAGGTTCTCAATTAACAATTGTGGAAGCGCATCTAGAACACCAAGTTGAGAGCAGGGTTGCTTCCACTCACATGCTATAATTTTTTTTTTCGGAATTATGCAATCATTAGATGATATAATGATGTGTTGTACTTGTAAGTAACAAGAAGAGGGTGTAAAATATGTGTTTGACTCATAAAACCTGTCAATTTCGCTTTCAGAGCGTCACAATCAGCGATCTTATGATTCGTGAGCGTTCACTCAGAGTGAGCGCTCACGAGTCGTAAAATCGCGGATTGTGACCCTCTGAAAGCAATATTGACAGATTTTATGTGTCATACACATACTTCACGACCTCTTTTTGTAGCTTACAAGTAATAGTTATCATTATACCATCTCATAATTTCATAATTCCGAAAACATTTTTTTATAGCAAGTGAGTGGAAGTAACCCTGGATGAGAGCCAGAAAAATTCTCGCAAATCAAGCGGCGTAAAAGCCTAAAGCCTGGTTAAAAGTAAATCTGGACGTAGGTTTCAATGTGCCATATTGCTCCTAGCAAGCAGAAACTTTTGACAGCATATTAGGGGTATTCATTACGGGCATCGTTAACATATACTCTGTAGTAAAAACACCAGGGTTCATTGAAGTGTAATGGAAGTTTACACATTTACGAAGGTGCATACGTTTAGGATGCGTTTTGTGAATACTCCTATTGTGTGTTAAACTTTGACGAGTAATTGGTAAACATTTCATCAACATTGATGGCCACGGAACTTGAAATAATTAAATTAATTGTGCACATATACAAATACCCTCTTGGTCCAGATTATAGATACTATAGATTCCATAGATAGGCGAAGGAAAAGTATAATGTAGCCAAACGAACTGTTAGTTAGTGTAGCCAAACGAGCATGACGTCATCATGGTGTTGTTTGAGGGAGAAGTATTGTAATATAATGAGCACAAAACGCTTTCCACGCTCCACATTCCGATTTATTTCGCGGACAACGGAAGAAGGAAAGATAAAGCAAACCATTCCTCGATACATTGCTGCACTTTGCTTTGCACTTCATTTTGAACTATTACGCACGAAACAAAACAAAACTACACAACGAAGAGCTCTATGATCAGCGTTGCCAGACATACCGATTTATCGGTATTTATACCGATATACAGATAAGGTTACCGATTTTTGAGCTACAATACCGATTTATACCGATTTTTTTTTATTAATAATCAAAATGATTACTGCCTGCCCGCACTGAATTTTCAGAGGAAACTATTGTGAGAGACTTTTATCTTTTTGAAAATTGCAATTTTTGAGACTGCTCTAAAAAAAATTTTATCTTCAAAAATGTCTTGGGGCCCATGCATTAATTATGTCACGCTAAATCGAGCAAAAAATTACCCCCTCCCCACCTATCGTGACGTTTTTCCTATACCTAATGCATTGCTTGTCACCAAATCTTAGACCCCCCTCCTTCCTTAGAGCGTGACATAATATATGCATCAATCCTTATGCTTTATACTCTTTCGACTAATGCTTCCATTTCCTCGCCGTTTTTGGTAACCAAAGAGTCGAGAAACAGCTGACGGCTCCATCCCAGTAATTTCTGGAAATCGAGAAATACTTTTATTCAGTGGAAAAATAGGTCCATAAAAACGTTAATTTTTGAACTTCCTGAAATTTCTTTAATCTTCCCTTCGAAGTTTCTACCAACTTTCTCTAGGAATTTCCGTCCACCTTACACTGTAAATTATTTTCCGATTCCTTCTGGAAAGCTATTTCGACTTCCCTTGGAAGCTTTTTCTGGCTTCGCTCGAAAGGTTATTCCGTCTCCTCCCGTCAGTTTTTTCAACTTCAGAAATGCTTCCAGAGTTTTATTGCGGTCCCATTAGTTGCAGGAAAATTTCAGGAACTTTTCAGAAGTTCTGAAATTTCAGAATATTTCGGACTTTTGGGTAGGTTCAGATAAATTAAAGACAGTTTCATCAACTTCTCAAAACTCAAAATCTCAGGAAAGCCCAAAGAACTCCAATGAACTTAAGGAAACTGAAATATTCTGGAAACTTCACAAGCCCAAAGAACTTTAAAGAAATTTAATGGTTTTCAGGATAGTTCCATTTGTTTCAGGATAATTGACATAACTTTAGGGAAGCATTAGTACAAATAAATTCAAGGAAATTTCTGCACCTTTAAATAAGTTCCGAAAACTTCAGTTAAGATCCGAGAGGTTCATGAATATTTTGGTAACGTAAGGGAAGTTATGTGAACATTAGAAAATTGTGAGAACATTTTGAGGAAAGTTCTGTGTTTTTTATCGGCTGTTTAGGGAACTTTAAACTAAAAATAGCGAAGTTCAGAGAACTTTAATGCTGATGTTCATTAATTTGAAAAAATAAATAAATTGAAAGTCCTAAAAAAGATCCAGCGACTTTTACAGAAGATAAGAGATTTTCCAGTAGTTCCATAATAATCAAGGAAGTTATGAGTACTTCGAGGATGATCAGAGAACTTCAAAACAGCCCCATTAAATTTAGGGAAATTGTAAGAACTTTCAAGGAGCTCCGAGTATGAGATATTCCGAAGTGCAAACAATAGAACATGTGAGGAACTTCAGAGAATATTGTGCTAACATCCCACAGAAATCTATTTCTTCCAGATATTTTCCCATCTCCTCCTTGAAGTAGTCGACTGTTCCGTAAGTCCTCTGGCGTCCGACTTTTTCCAGAATTTTCATTCAATCTACATTAGGAAGATTCTCCCAGTGTCTCCTGGAAATTTCTTCCGTCTTCTCCAAGAAGTTCAATAAAAGTTCTACCGGATGTATCTATCGAGTTCTCCCAGAAGTTTATTTCGTCTTCCTCTGGAAGTTTCTCCATAAGTCACTCTCTGTAGGTTTTTTCTGCCTTATTGGAAGGTTTTTTCAGAGCTTCTCCTAACTTCCCCTGGAAATGGCTCCTCC